AAAATGCAGATGTGACTCTAGCTGCTGTGTAGAAAAACGATCCGATGTATGACGGCAGCTGAACCCTCCTGCCATTCATGCTCCAACAGTCAGCCTTTTTTGAAAGTCTTGCCTTCAGTGATCCCAAATCAGATGATCATGTTACAAAGTATGATTAGGTTTTACTTCCTTAACTTTGGCCTGCAATAAACGTGCATCGCAGCACTTGCATTTTCTGTTTCTCTACTTATTCACTTGAGATTTTCCTCTACTTTTTCACCCACACATTTATACATTTAAATTTTGTCCCACAGCAACAACATTTCTGGTACAGAAGTCCAATTGAGATGAGCAATGTTTTTGCTTCTATCGTTTTATTTTTGTTTTGTTTTTGTAGCAGTTTGGTATCAATTTTAAAATGGAAGAAAATGAATATCCACGTTTCAATCTATTGTACAAATATTTGATATTCAGCATTTCCGTCCATTATCTTCATCTTATCCAATTGAGGGTTGTGGGGAGGCTGTTATAGGGCAAAAGGCAGAAAACACCCTAGACAAGATTGCTAATCTGTTGCAAGGCCAACACATAGAGATGGTAACCACTGGCATTTACAGGCAATTTTTGAATGACTAATTTGTTTAGCTACATGCATGTTGTTAAGACTGTAGGAGTGAGCCACAGTAGCTGGACAGAACACATAGACTACAAAAAGACCCCAGGTTGGATTTGAGGTTGCTGGAAGGTAACAGTGCTAACCACCACACCGTGAGACTTCTGCCACTCCTCTTTAAGCAAACATGCATAGAAATACAGTAAATAAGTTTGTACAATTCTAACAAACTTGAAAGTCAATATTTGGTGTGACCACTTTTATTCTTCAACACAGTCTGAACTCTCTTAGGCAGTTTTTCTTGTAGTTCTTTAAGCAGTCTTTAGGAACAGTTCTCCAAGCTCCTTGAAGGACATTCAAAGGTCGTCTTTGGATGTTGCGGTTCAGACTCTGGGGAGGCCAGTCCATGACTGATAGTGTTCACTGTGTGCTTTTCTGTCCTGGTATGCTTTTAATGCATTGGCAGCGTGTTTCGGATCAAGTCATGCTGAAAAATGTCAAATTTGGGTTCATCACTCCATAAGACCCGTTGCCACTGATATTCAGTCCAGTTGTTGTGTAATTTGGCGTACTTTCTTTTTCTCCCTGTTTCCCTTCCTTCCACTGAGACCACTTGTGATTAGGATTCAGTGAACAGTAGATGATCTACTAAAGGGCTAGATTCAACTCTCAGGTCTTGTGTCAGGTCTTTCCTGGATGTTTTTCCTGTTTCTTAAGGACATGACTTTCAGATACTGTTAATCTGCTGTAAATAGATTTTTAGGCCTGTCACTTCTTCTTTTGGCTGTCACTTGTCTGGTTTTCTCAACGTTTTTAAGGACACACTGAAGATCATGATAAGATATGTGAAGTATTTGTCTTATAGCTCAAAACAAACAAAAAAACTCAGCTTTATGTTTGTCAAACTGTTATCTTTGGCATTTTTCTTAGAGTCAAAGGAAGCTGAACAAGTGATGTTTTTGGAACAATTTGCTAGAAACAAAGTGCTTAAAGATGAAATGTAATATTGGTTCTTTACAAAGTTATGTGTAGACAAAACACTGGCTAATCTCTTGAGTTAGGCATCTGAAAAATGAATGAAAAACTCAATGAAAAATTTTGATAGAGCTTCAGAAAGCTTGGAGAATTATTACCCAAACCCAAGACTTAGTTGGTCTTGTTCTTGAGCAAGATCAAGCCAACTGACCAGCCAGGAACTGCAATCGGCAGATTTCCAGCATTCTTGGCCCTGACTGATGACCGGCTCATCATTCTCCCATAGGTGCTTCTAGTTAATTGGAAGTTTTTCCTCCCTGGTCTGGAAAGCACGATAGCGTTGTTCGCATAATGCCTTTTGCGAATCACTTACCACCAGACTCTTAATGTTTTTCTTGTCAATAAGTTGTGGCGATGCAATTGGAACAGCTGCACTAGTGTCTATCTTCCATTTTTATTTTTTCTCTGCTTGTGGGCATCTTTCTTCAGTATATAAGGGTAGACTCGCACTTGTCAGTGTATGCTTCTGGAAGACTTGTAGCTTCAGTATGTGCACTCCCCGGACTGCTTACAGTACTGACAAGAACAACTCTGGATGCATTTTCAGAATTTTGGTTTTCAAAGGAATTGCTAATATGAGTTCTGATGACATCTTCTCATTTTGAAGAAAAGACAGCAAGTAATTTATCTGCAAGGCTGAGATTTAGAAAACCTCATGCTTACGTTTAAACTACAAAAATAAGAAGATATTATGTTCAAAATTTCTCTGAAAAGTCTTCAGACGTAGCGAAACGTGCTCAAGTATTATTGCTGTAAATCTGTCCTCGGCTGTTGTCACTCTTCACATTTTGCTCTGTTTTTCTTTCCCTAATGGTGTTTGCTGCTGCATTTTCTCCTTCAGTCTTTCATCACAATGATAACCGTGTAAAATAAAAGCTTTTGATTACATAACTGCTTCTTGGAAATGGCAGCGCTACCCAACAAAGGCAAACAGAGGTCCTTTTTCAGTGTGTTTGGTAGTTATTTCTCCATTTAATAGCTGTGGTTGAACTGGCCTGTCCACAAAGACGAGAGATAAAACATTCCCTCCTTCTGCATGTGCTTGGAAGTGCATTCTTAGTTTCTCTTACTTGAGCAGCTGGCTCTCCTCAGCTCGGAGTGGCAGAACGGCTGCCACGCTCGGCGTCGAGCACCAGCTGGGCCATCTTTGATGCGATCTCAGTGTGGCACCAAAGAAACGATGTGCAAGGCGAGGTCACGGGTTGTGTTTGTTTGCCCTGGTGCAGCAGGGGAAATGGACAACATGTGCTTGATTTCTTTTCATGGCTCGGACTTCCTTCATGGTCACAGTTAAACGGATGGATAACTGGAGAGCAATAACAGCGAATAGCCCGTTTCTGACACAATATCAGTGCATAAATTGTTATAATTACTGCCATGGGTACAGCGTGGGCAGATAGGTGGAGAATTTTTAAAATTTATTTATTTAATTTCACAGAAGTGGCTGATAAATCTTTTATTTTGTGAAACTTTTGCGGTCAGTCAACTCCAAACACAGTGTTGAATCATTTGCTGCTGGAGCTGCTTTACTAATTTGCTTTCAGTTTTCCAGTAGTGTATTAATAATAGGGCTGTGCGATATGACCAAAATCTCATATCCCGATATAAGACATCTATCGTCCCGATAACAATATATATATATCACAAAATTTTAACATTTTCTGTAAATTCTGTGACTCTCGGGCAGCTCGACTTGCGTGAATTGTTTCAAGCTGGGCGTCGTGTACCTGGAGTCAAGTGTTTTAACAGATGCATAAAATAAAACATGAATGTTTGTTATCATCTTATCTTTCTAATCTTATCTAATCTAATTCTTTTCATGTCAGTTGATGTCTATGATGATATAAATCGAGTCATTATTTATGCCAGTTTTTAAGGTCCCTGTTTTCTCCTGAGATGCAAAGTTGTAATTTAATTTTTGGTTAAAATATTTGATTTAATTTTTAATTCTGACCAGTCAGAAGCTTCAGGTGTTATAGAAGAACACAAACTAAATGAAAAACTGAATTCTTTGGTCAGTTCCAAATAAATAATGTAGATAAAACTAGAAGTTAGAATTACTAGACACCCTGCGATATGATGAAGTTGTCATTTTTACATTTTGCGATATGATGACTACTCTTGGTTGCTGGGGATCAGTCCGCCAGGGCCTTCTGTTCCTGGTCACCGCCCGGAACACATTGCACCCGACCCCTACGGCGCCTCCTGTGGGTAGTGGGCCTGCAGGAGGATGTGCCCATGTCCCTTTTTCAGGCTGTGCCCGGCCGCCCTTGGGCACCCTCCCCAGGCCTGGCTCCAGGGCAGGCCCCTGGTAACCCTGTCCCAGGCAGGGTGAACTGTTCCCTGGATCTTTCACTCATAGGGGTCTGAACCTGAGTCTGAACTCCTCACCCACAGAGATGGGGTGAGGAGTTCAGCCATCCGAGAGCGGCTCAGAGTAGAGCCGCTGCTCCTTCACATCGAAAGGAGCAGTTTAGGTTTTTGGTTTTTTTTGTTTTTTCTTTTTTTTATGTAGATGTAAGGAGGCTTCTGTTTTTACTCGTGTGATCGAGCCGTTAGCTTGCTCTAAATTACAAGGTACAGTTGACAAGCTAAGTGTGTCCAGTGTTGGATGATTTATTTGTTTTTTGGGTTGAACTGATTTAATGCAAGTTTGGTCAGCTGACTTAGGTGCATGAGATTAGCTCTCTTGTTCATAGCATTCCCAAAGTGTTTTCATTTATTTAATAAAATATCAGTATTTGGTGTCCAGGACTGCAAAGTCTTGTTTGTTGTGTACAGTAATACTGTTGCTCGGGTTGTCATTAGCATTGTCCATTGTTATTTGGTCTTTTTCTCACTCACACTCCTAACATTCTGGTGTGTACGGCATCAGCAACCCAAACATTAGCTGCCAGCCTATCCTGACGTGGCTTTATTCTATTCCAAAAGCATGATTGGCTCGGCTCGGTTCAGCGCTGTTCTTATTGCCATTGGTCTTTCCAGATGTCTGCCAAAACAAGGATAGACTTAGTTCTGTTGACTTTATATTGACCATGCGTGATTGTTATCATTTTATCTGGTTTCCAGCCCTAATGTACATATGCAGTAAATGTAAGAGCTAAAGACCTCCGGCAGATGCAGAGCTCAGAGTCGGCGGCCTCTGTACTCCCACAGGCCGGAGAGATCTCTACGAGATATACTGCAAAAGCTTTCTTCTGCAGCAAGTTGAAATCCTAACATGATATTTATCTGCAGAAGAGATTTTGGAAGCTGACGTCAGCCACGCTGTGACTTTGTAAAGTTCTTACACCACGCTTCTTTTCTTTGCGGATGTGGATGTTTGCATGCGACACACAGAATTGAGCCGGTGTTATTTTTGTGTTCCCTCCAGGCTGTTCGGTGCTACGATTCACTCATCCTTAAGGCAGAGGGCAAAGTGGACCCTGAGTTATTCTGCCAGCTGGGCCACTTCAACCTCCTCTTGGAGGATTATCCGAAAGGTGAGTCATCTCTTCACCTGCACTCAAGTGGGTTATACGCTCTTTGTTTTTTTTCCTGCCACTGTTTTGGTCGAATAAATGATTTCTATTTCAGCTGTCATGCCTTTTGAGTACGTTTCACATTTTTAAGCACAGTAGTTATTGTTCCTCTAAGAACAAACCTCTACAGCTTGCTGCTTGGTCATTTCCTCTCGTAAATCTTTGTTTGCATCTCCTTACAGCATTATCAGCATACCAGAGGTACTACAGTTTACAGTCAGACTACTGGAAGGTAAGACACGCAGGCCTACACGTTCACTTTCCCTTATTGTTTGTGATATTCTCACCTTCTTTCACTCTCACTCTAACACACACACACACACACACACATTTCCCACACATACACCGGAAGCACGTTTGGTCTCAGCTGGGTTAGATGTTGGCGTAAGATGCGGTTTCAGGTTTCATGTCAGTCATTTTCACTGTTTCCTGCAAAGTTGACACTTGGCGGTGAACCTAAATTCTAGCTTTGTTTTTTGTTTTTGTTCTTTTAATCAAATTCTATCAGGTGCTGCAGTGTTATATAATCGGTTAGCCACCAGTTTCTTTTTTCACCCCACTGACGTCTGATTTATTCTGTCCATTTTAGTAGCACATTAGCAAATCTTCACATAAGTTTAGTACCTTTTGGGTTGCTGTAATTTGGTAGGTTGATTTGCTATAGTTAAAAAAAAACAAAAAACACTGCATTGTTTGGTAGCTAAATAATTGCTCACCTTTCTGTCTTTACTCCCAGAATGCCGCCTTTCTGTATGGCCTCGGAATGGTCTACTTCCACTATAATGCCTTTCAGTGGTGAGTGGCAACTTCTTTTTTTCATTATTATGAATATTATTTCTTCATTTGGATAGACACAGGGAGAGTCTGCTGAGATCATTATTGTTTATGTAATAAATGCACTGTGAATCTCTTCTGGGGCTGTTCTGGATTAAAGAGAAAATCACATTGGGGCTGTGGCAGAATGGTGGTAGATGGGGAAAATGTTACAATGTCACACTGCATTATGCTGAGCATAAGTGGATGGATATCAGCTAAACAAGAAAAAATACTGTTGTTTCTTAATGTTTGCCTTTAAAAAAAAAATTACACTTTTTAAAAACAGATTTCATGTGGCTTATTGGACTAGTAGGCTGATAAGATACAGTAGTTACCTTGATGGTAGGTTTTGTTGTTTGCTATTGTGGGTGATATAACCTCAAAATTATGTCAAAATATTTCAAGGCAATTTGCAATAATCATATTTATTTAAAAAAAGCAAAAAGAAAACGAAGAACTAAACGAGGTTTCACAGGCGATTGTAGCTTGCGGGCAGCAGTTTTTATTAGTGCAAATAAAAAAAGAGGGGTGTTTTCCATCTTTGTTTTATAGTGAGCTGAACTTGTTAACACTAGATTCAGGCAGCAGCTTCAGAGTGCAATAGATATTGGTCAAGCTGCGTTCATTTGCACATAAGTACATATGTAAACCAAAATAGTCACCATCAAAATAAAAGCAACAAAGTTTTTGTGATTTTGAGGATAAATCGCAAAAACCAGTAATCCATTCTCTTTTGGGGAGTTAATCAAAGTGTGTTTGGTGCCTGATGTAAACTTATTTACATTTGAATCCTAATTTCCCATTGACCGCATGTTCAGGGACCCGTTAGATGAGACAATCAATGCCATTCTCATGCCTAGATTATGGATATGCTTGTTAGCTGGATTTAGATAAAGAATGGTTTGCACCAATTTGTGAATCTATCAGCTACTCTGCTAACTCAGCCTCTGTGGACAATTTGTAAGTGTGTTTTAGGACATTTGAGGGGTGTACCATGAAGCCAGATTAACGGGTTGACAAGCTGGGTTGAGCTTAAAGTCTGGGTTTTCTGAGTGAATAGTCATGTGATGCGTGGAACGTGCCTTTTTACATGAGCACACACAGAGCCTATAGCAGACAGCCTCGCTTAACAGAGGAAGCCGATAACCACCTCATGATAACGGCATCATAAAACAACATCACCAGACAGCAGCCACTGCTTTTAAGATGTATCTCAGGAAATAAATCCCTCCTTTGTTCTCCACATGGACTGTTGACCTGCATGCAGCCGAAGAATGCTCATATGTGATTGGTCACTTAGTAATACTCTGTCTACAAGCAGGCTACAAATACTGCTCAAAAGTGATCCAATCCACCGACTGCTCATTTATTAAACCCACACCAAATCCGTGAAGTCTTTGGCAGCAGCACACCTATGATCAGTGTCAAGTATTTGAGCAATTTCAAATATTAAAATTAAAAATATTGGTGTGCTCTGTGATGCAAGACAGAAGTTGCATGCCTCAGAAGATGGCACTTTCAAACAGCAACAACGGTTAGCGCAACGATTCAAGGGAGTTATCCAAAGAAGCGTGCCTCTGTGATTACACAGCTCAGTCGTAGTCTGTATATGTTTACCAGCTGAAAATCTGCCTTTGATGGTGAGCTGTCCTATCTTGTTTCCATAGCAACGCCACGGCCAGCAAGAGAGACTCTGTTCTGGCTGAGTTGCCAATAAGAATCAGCTAAATTAGATTCTTCGAGATGCAGACATCAGCAAATCCAGCTGTTACCAGCTGCAGGCAAATTCCACTGAGGCGTTGTTTTCAACACGTGATTGTTTTCAGAGACATTTTTCAGATGTCAGGACATTTTTACCACTTGCTTCTTGTTTCTTTTGTTGTTTCCAGTGGTACGTACTGTTGTCTAATGCACGTTTATCTACTATTTGAATTTATTTACAAATCATCATTATCTGACTCTCACTGGTGCCATTGAATGAAGCGGCCAGTTGAGAGCTGGAGAGCTAACTCAGAGATAATTGTCTTCTTGCACAGATCTGCATCTGCTCTGTTTACAGCCACTTTGGGCGGTTCTGTGAAGGGAGTAGTATACTCTGTTGTAAGAAATCTTCAGTCTTTGGTCGGTTTTCTATTTGAAACGGTCTTTACTGCTTATTGAAGAGGACTCAGGGTGCTTTATATTGTAAGGTAGAGAGCCTACAATAGTAGAGAGAGAATCTGAACACTCAGGTGACCCCCATGAGCAAGCACTTGGTGACAGTGGGAAGGAAAAACTCCCTTTAAACAGGAAGAAACCTCTGACAGAACCAGGAGATGAGACAAAGACGCACTGTGGAAGTGGTGAATGTGTGATGATGTAACCTGCGGCGCACGAAACGACCAATGTGGCGGGTATTGTGGCGGCTTAAAGGGTGTCCACACAGGAAGTAATGTGTCATTTAGGTCGCAAGCTGACATACTATTCGCATAGAAATGACTAATGAATTTGTTGATCATGAAATGTCATTTAACACATTTCCGGTCAGTTTGGAGCTAGATAGAAACCCTCAAAAAGCGTTAAATAAAAGCTTAGATTGCTTAAACTTTTTATTGTGTGTAACAAACAGGGTGCGTTCTCAGTTTCCAGGGAAGAAGCATCTTTAGTGTTGAGTAGAAGATGGCACGCCGGCAGCATGACTGGAATAAGCAGCTGCTGTCGGAGATCAGCTTTTGCTAATACCTCAAGTTTTTCTCTGAATCTAAATGTTTTTATTAATCACCCTTCTCTTTTTTTCTCTCCCCCCCGCCCACCACCGCTTCCTTTTAAATCTCCCACAGGGCGATCAAAGCATTCCAGGAGGTGCTGTACATTGACCCGGGGTTCTCCCGGGCTAAGGAGATCCACCTGCGCCTAGGTCTCATGTTCAAGGTCAACACAGACTACGAGTCAAGCCTAAAGGTACGTGCAGCTTAGAGAGTCGCGCATCACTATTGAACGAATCCCGAGAACCGGCGATGAAGCGAACAAAAGCAAAGGTGGATTTTGTCAACAGCAGCGGTTTCACACTTCAAGCTGACCTTGAAGCGTGAAACGAGCGAGCAGAGCACGACACAAAAAGGATGGGAGCTCCCATTCAGTGCCTGAATAAGCTGGCAGCTAGTGACAAATATAAGAGTGAATAAGTGATTGATTCTATCTACTCATTTCTCTCTTACAGCATTTTCAGCTGGCTTTGATTGACTCCAACCCCTGCACTTTGTCCAAAGCTGAAAGTAAGCACCTTTTCTGTTTATTTGAGTGTTATGTTATTAATTGTATCTAACCGCTTTTGTGAATATGCATCATTACTTTTTATTCTTTCAGCTCTCCCCTCCATCTTTTCTCCTTTCACCATCCTTCTGTACGCAGCATTAGACCGGTGGTTTCGCTTCAGTCTACTTAGAGCACTGGAATTATTTGATATGCTGCTCCCATCTCATCTCGCCCGCCGTGCTACCTGTTACCTTGGTGATAGCAATATCCATTTTTGCCCAGGCTCCCGCTGTTTGCCTTTGCTTCTTTGTGTCCCCCCTCACTGCTTTTCTAACTCGCTCACATACGTAGCAAGGGCAGCCCCCATCTTACTCCCCACCCCCCACCCTCTCTCTTTCTCTCGCTTGTTCGTGCTCTCTCTCTCCCTCCTCTCCACTCTCTCTCTCCCTCTCCATCTGCTGAGAGTCACTCAGGCAGCTTAGATCAGACACTGCAGCGCTCCAGACAAAGGAAGGTGCTGCCAGGAGCACAGCTTACCTACCTGCTCTGTTCATGTAGACTGGGCCAGCCTCGGGTTTCTGACACCTCTTTTTTATTGACAGCTCAGCACTACTTTCCAAAGACTTTTGGAAACACACTGAGGAGGGACTCAGTTTTTCTTGAAATGTTGAGTAACCTCTAACACGCTTGTGTTCTTGTCTCTCTCTCTCTCTTTTTTTTTTTTGTAGTTCAGTTCCACATTGCTCATCTGTATGAGATTCAGGTAAGTGTTTGATGCTTGATTCGACCTGCACTTGAGCTCTGCTTGCTCTCAAGGGTACAAGACTAGATTTGCCCCCACCCCCCCATCTATGCTGAGTAATTGAGAAGGAGGGGGGGTGTAAGTGCTGCATGTCGATTGAATGTGGAACAGCGAGGCGAATAGCTTTGACTTAGCGGTGTAAAAAAAATAGCAGGGCGTCTGAATGCCGGGGATTGCCCTGTTTCCTATTTTCTCTTTTCTTTTTTTTTCTTTTTTTTTAATTTGAACTACGTGCTGACAAATTGAGGATGGAGCAGGGTGCTCGAGTGGGTGGCGCGCGGGAGGGGATAGGAGATTACTCTCGGCCGATCGACAGGGTTGCCACGGAAACAAGAAAGTCTGTCTCCCCCTCTTTTGTATGCTGGTGGTCTCCCTCTCTCTGTCTTTATGTGGGTTTCATTGGCGAGGTACAGTAGCTCAGGGATGCGTTTATCTTTTTTTTTTTTTTTTTTTTTTTTTTTTTTTATTATTATTTATTTTATTGTATTTTATTTTTTTAAATTGTGCTGTGTCAGAACACGCCGCTGCAGTGAAAGACCCCCAGCTAAATTAAGAAGGGTGGGAAGTGCAGTCAGCATGATTACTACATTCCTGTCTCCTGCTGCAGGTTAACAGAGATGGAAAGACGGCCAAAATAGCAACTATAAAAAACTATAACTATAAACTAAAAGCTATAGGTCTACACTATTGTTGGTTTTTGTTTTGTGTTTTTTTTTACTTTTTTAATCCTTGTTACATTTCCTCTTATCCTTTTCCCATATCCAGAAGAAATACCGGGCTTCCAAGGAGGCTTACGAGAGCCTTCTGCAGACAGAGGATCTTCCTGCGCAGGTGAAGGCCACTACCCTGCAGCAGTTAGGTAAGGTTTTCTAAGGATATATCATAGTTTTGATATTTCTTAAAAACAAACACACAGTTGGATAATTGGATATATTCCCAGGCTGGATGCATCACACGGTGGAGCAGCTCGGGGACAGAGGAAGCAGGGACAGCTATGCCATCCAGTGTCTGCAGAAGTCTCTGGAGGCCGACCCTAACTCTGGACAGTCCTGGTACTTCCTTGGCAGGTATGCTGCACACCGGAAAAACAGCCTACAGAGGATTGTAGCGTTTGATACTAGTGTGCTCCTTACCTCTGCTTTCCTGAAATAAAGCAATAAAATAATGGATTGTGAGGCTCTAAAAGCAGTGTGTGGGCTGTTTGTGTGTCCTGGACAGCTGAGCTGGACAAGCCCCAATTCCTTTCTGATTAGCTCAGAGGTCTATGCATTAGTGGCTAATGCTGCTGGCTAGCTGCTCCTAGGCATGTATTTCCAGCTCCATATTTTTATTTTTCAACTTCATTAGAGTGGCTTTGCATGATTAGCAGTTAAAAATAACCCCCATTAACTTTGGGCTCCTTGTTCATACTCTGTCTGAAACAAGCAGTTCTAGCTCACTTTACTCCTTTTAAGCTACTTTTAATCTAATTGGCTCCCCCCTCGCAGACTGAAGAGCTTCCTTCTTACCACTTCTTTTATTTTTCTCTTTTTCTTTTTGTTTTGTTTGTTTGTTTGTTTGTTGGTGACCACACACTACTCCACTGAGAATTTAGATTCCAGTTCAGCATCTATGCATGCACCCCGGGCAGCAGACTTGAAGCGAACGTCAGGACTAGAACAGGAGTAGCTACTTAAGAATTGGGTTTTCAGCTGTCAGTGTCCTCAGTGGAATAAAATCAAGGCTTAAGAAAAAGCATGGGAATTTGGGCTGTGTTGTAAAAGGTTTATTGAAGGTGAAATTTAAATCCATAGCTTGGCAATATCAGCACTGTGTTCTCTTTGGTGGTTGATCAGGGAGGTACATTCTTTTGGCGCATCATTTTGGGTATTGGTTGTCACTTTTTGGCTGAAAGCAAATTAGTAATGGAGGTGAGGAGAATCAGAAATTGCCACCACCACTTTACACAGAGGGCTTCATTTTCCGATCCTCCTCATGTTTTAATTTCCTTAATGACTCTGTGGGTGAGCCTTCTCTATTGCCATTGTCTAGTTGATTGAAAGTATTTGTTCTGTTATGGATCTGGTAACACCAGGTGTCAGCTGCTGTTACCCTTTAAGCATGTCAAAGGGTGGAATTTGTAAAGAGGAATGTATTTTTGGAATATTATTTCCATATCGTGACAGCCTTTGTCTTTCCACAGGTGCTACTCCAGTATTGGGAAAGTCCAGGATGCCTTCATGTCTTATCGGCAATCCATAGACAAATCAGAGGCCAATGCAGACACCTGGTGCTCAATAGGGTAACTTTTGTATTTAAAAGTAATCTATTACTTGTTTTCACAAAGAAAAATATTTAAAACCATTTTTTTCTGCATCATCATTATAATTTTTCTTCCCCCTTCTATCATCATCCTCCCCTCCCTCTTCCCCCGTCTGCACCTGTCCTCAGGGTTTTGTACCAGCAGCAGAACCAGCCCATGGACGCTCTGCAGGCGTACATCTGCGCCGTGCAGCTGGACCACAGCCACGCCGCTGCCTGGATGGACCTGGGCACGCTGTACGAGTCCTGCAACCAGCCGCACGACGCCATCAAGTGCTACATCAATGCCACTCGCAGCAAGGGCTGCACCAACACTGCTGCGCTAACCCACCGCATCAAATGCCTGCAGGTGGGTGGCGAGAAGGATTTCATAGAAGAAGCAACCATGCAAAGGCTGTTTGGATGGGTATATAGCGTCAGCTGGATTATTTTGTTTGAAGAAAATTTAACAGAAGTGCAAAGATATTTGTCTAACAGCAACAGTGAGGTTTTCATAAACGGTTTTTCCCCAGGTTAGGCAGTCGAGTAGCTTTAATTGTAGCATGTTGAGATGAGAACGCTTACTGAAACTGCTGGTTGCGATTTCCTTCTTACAATTGCAGGATAAAGTTAGCGTTTTTACATTTTAGGGTCAAATCTGTGTTTCTGCATTGTGACATAAATATGATTTGATTTTCACACAATGCCTTTAAAGCAGATAAGCACATCCCAGTTTGCATATCTGTGAGGGGAGGGTGTCAAGTAACCTCGTGATTTCAGTCAGTGAGGTGGCAGTCAGGTGAGGTGGGGTGGCCTGATTTTATTTTCAAAACAGGAATCTGATCTTCACAACACGTCTTTGAGGAAGACAACTGTTGCACGAGGAACCAAATTTTCTGAGAACCTTGCAAAAAGAGCTGTGGATGCTCAGCAGGCCAGAGGAGATTACATAACCATCTGAGAAGAGTTTGGATTCGACTGATCTGCAGTCAGACTGCTGTTGCCAGTAAAGAAGAGTTATCCTCTATGCTTCATAGTGTGGTTCCTGTGCAACCTGAATTATGTTCCCAGACTAACTTCTAAACAGGTTGAGCCTCCCGTATTGGCTCATGTTCCTGAGTCCACCAACAGCAGAGCGCTGATTAACAGTAATATTAATGGCTGGCCTACAAGGAGAAAGCCACCGCTCTCCATAAAGCATACTGCTACCCATATGCAGTTTACTGATGATCACATGGGTGAGCCAGACAGCTGCTGGAACAATGTTTTGTGGACATAGGAGACTAAAATAAATTGTTTTGGTCAAAGAAAGGGAAACGGTGCATAAGACAGTGTGAAGCACAGCGGTGGTAGTATCATGATTTGGTTCTGTTGTGATGTATATCGGCCAAGATGGCTTGTTCTTCCTGACACAACCATCCCATTTATCCAAGCTTGGGGCCGGCTTGTGACCTCCTGAGGCTGGGTTTGTCTTCCTGTCTTATGCAAAGTCAAATAGAAATGCTGTAGAAGGGCCTGAGGAAGCTCACCAGCATCTTGATTGCATTCTTTTTAATGAAATAGTTTAAATTTCCTCCAAGCTAAGCCAGACTGATCAAAAGGCGAAACCGTTAGCTGCAGTTATTGCTGTAAAAGTGGCTCACAGGCTGTTAAGAGCTAAGGCTCAGTTTCCCTCCTCACAGATATGCAATACTGGATCATCTGTATCGAGAAATGAATGGATGTCCAAGTTGAATGTTTTCACTTTTAAGGTATTTATGTGGAAATGAGGAGAATCTTTTTCCTGTAATTGTAAGTGCTCTGTGAATAAGCATCATTGGGCTTTATGTTTTTTTTTCAACCAATCAAAAGACGTGTAACCTACTTTATCCCTGATTGAAGTTTGCTTTAATTTGTTGGAGCTGCTCTGGGGTTCACCGGAGTTGTTTGGCGTGGCTTATGCAGATAACGGGCAGAAAACAGTGCAGTGAACGCCACAGACACAAAATGATACCAGTGCAGGCTTCGTAGTAGGCTCCCTTTAGCATTAGTAGCCTCTCCCTTTTTCTGAACCTTCCTAATCCTAAAACTCCCTTGCACTTGGATAGCAACGCATGTGGTTTCTAAAGGGCTCTTCTCCAGTACCTTCATCTTCTTCTCTGCCTTTTGCTGTTCTTTACCATCCCTTTGAGGTTTAAATTAAATCATTCCTAAGGGATGCGATTAGACAAGCACAACAGAGACTTCGGAGGTCAAAGAATAAACCTGCTACACCCTTTTGAGAAATAATTAGGTCTCCTTTTTACGGATTTCGAGAACGATTGGCGCTAACGACAGCTGACGTTAGCTGAGCGAAGTGGCCCTCAGCCCTCCCGCAGATTTAAAACCTGGGCGACCCCGCATCTCATGCGTTAATTTATTCATCTATGCTGTCATTTTTTCCTTTACATATGCATGAAGGAATGTTACATTACCACCCAGTTTACTATAGCATAATTTCATGGCATTAAGACAAGCTCCACTGGCTTGTTTTAATGGACACTGTGACTGTGTTTGGGATCACTGTTGCTGAATGTACCTCCTCATGTTGTTAATGACATGACTGTAGGGTTGAGTTAGCCAGACCAGTGCAAGTTGGCATAATCACTGTCAGATTCTCAACTTGGCTTCACTTGTTGTTTTATTTATTTATTTATTTTTAACCTCTGCCAACTTACCATTGCTAATCATTTCTTTGTTTTGAGGTCATCGTTTTCAAAAAAAAAAGTAAAAAAAGAAAAAGCCTTGTGTTTTATTATTTTTTTTATTTTTATTTTTTTCACGTCGTTCTCCATTCCCCTAGGCTCAGTTGAGTAACCCCCAGCTCAGTAGCCTACAGAGTAAAAGTAAAATGCTCCCTCTTATTGAGGAGGCATGGAGTCTGCCAATCCCAGCTGAGCTAACCTCCAGGCAGGGAGGCCTGAGCAGTGCACCACAGCAGGTGAGAGACCAGATAGAGCAACTTACCCCACCCACTCCTCCTTCCTCCCCTCTTCTTGCCTCCCCCCGCCTCCTACCTCCCCTCCCTTCCTCTGAGTCCAAACTCAGACACTTAGGCTCTCGAAACACACACGCACACACCTGCAGGGCAGCACACACGCATGCACTGTCGTACATAACGATGGGTAACGCTTGAGCTCAATAACAAGGCGACCCCTGAAAATAAAAACGCCTTTATTTCTCTGCTGCCCTCACGATTGGAGACCTCGACTGCATTCCGAGTCTTCTTTTGTCGCAGCTTATCGCAATTGGCTACTGCTAGAAGCTCACGGGGTCACGGCCGCTTCACAGCAAAACCGAGCCAAGTGCTATCCATCCGCTGCACTCCCTTCTCCTTTTTTTTTTCTTTTTTCTTTTCTTTGTTTTTTTTTGGCCTCCAGCAGTCACATGGCTTCACCCATCACACTCAGTTTGATTCAAAAACCGAAAAAATCCGATAAATGATTTTTTTTGTCATTATTTTTCCTCTTCGATTTCTTCTTTTAATCCTTTTTTCCCTAAATCTAACCTGGTATTCGGGATTACACCCCACCCCTAGTCTCCTCCACCCCCCCCCTCCCTCGTCATGATCAGATTAAAGGGCTCTAATTAAAAGTAAAGTGGCTGTGTTTCTACTTCTCACACACACTTTGCCTCTTTCTTTTTTTTTATGCGTTCTCTTTTTTTTGTTTTGTTTTTTCCCTGGTGGGGGCTTTTCTTCACCCTGCCTCGGTGTGATCGGTGAGGTCGTGCTGCCGTAGACTGTCCCCAGGCTTCCTATTGACTCTGTTCGTCTTCCTCCTCCCCACCCGCCTCCCTTCCCTCCCCTTCCCTCTTCATTAGCTGACCTTAGGCACCTTGCAGTGTTTCACCTCCACTTCATTTAAACACGTCGGTCATGCAGTAGATAGCTGTAGCTCTGCTATGTCCGTGTTTGCGTGTGGTCGTCGTTGTCGGAATGTGTTGATCTCTTAGCAGCCGACGTGGCGACACTCGACTCGAGCGCGAATGAATTTGTTCGAAATTCTTCGGATGAGCCGATTTCATTGGGTCAGATGTGACTTTATAGCCTGACGCTCAGTAATAGTGATGATAATGATATTAATAATAAACCGAAGCTGCGTTTTTGTCATCTGGCTTTGTTTTTTACGCAGCACGCTAAAACGATGGCTTGTTCCGCAGGCCGTACAGTCACATCTGGCTCATGAGCTTTCTCCAAACTAATATTAAAGGCTGTCAGTGTGTGAATGCTTTGTAACCTTTGGCTTCCAAGGTCGAGTTATGCCACTGTGTCCCTAAACAGCTGCTACTGCCTTGCAATGTCTCGCCAAACTTGGGAACATACTAAGTCTTTCCCATGAGGACAGTTGGAGCGCTGTAGATGCTGTTTGGTTGTAGCCTCTGTACGTGTTTTCCCAGCTTTCCTTTAAACAGGAAAGATAACCTGGAGGGTGTTGCTGTGATTTGACGCAACGCCTTTAGACACACAGGAATGTTTTGGGGTTTTTTTGTTTTGTTTTGTTTTTTTGCTTTCTGTCATTGAAGCTTTAACGCAGAATCACATTATTGCTCTCCCTTGTTTCTCTCTTTCCACAATCCCCATCTCCATGTCTCCATAACCCCCTCTTTCCCTCTTCCTGTTCCTCCCGTACCCTTAACTTTTTTTTCTTTTTCCACCATCTTCTTTCATGACTTTCTTTTCGTCTGGATCTGCTCCAATCCTCTTTGTTTTACCCATCCATTTATATATCTTTTTTTTTCTTCTCCTTTGATTTGTTTCCCTTTTGCCTGCGCCTCTCCCTCCATTATCCCCCTCCCCACAGGCTTGTAAGCCCAATCACAGTGCAGAGGGCGGGGGCTCGGGTCAGTCTCTGCCTCCTCACGTGGGCTCGCTTGGCCAAGCGGACGACCAGTCCTGCCCAGCCAAGAGGAGGAAAGCCTCCGGTCCTGCCAAGGTAAATATGGCAGTTGTTTCCCTCGTAGTAAGCAGAGTTTACTCAGAACTGAACTGGGGTGGCAGAGGCGGTAATTCCAGTTTCATTCACCTTAATACAGCTTCTTTTTGTTTTTTCACCTCAGGGTGATTCATGGGCCAGTAATCCAGCACAGCCAGTCCCCAACTGGTACCTCTCACCACAGAAATTACAGGTTAGCAACATTTTCATCTATTTATCTTTAAAAAAAAAAAAAGGTCATCATTATTTTTAGGTGTCACATGGTTCTCACTCTTTCTGTCCGTCTTCAGATGTTGGAACAGTTACGGAGTAATCGGGCCAACTTGAAGCCGCCGCAGCTCCAGATGTTGGAGCAGCTGGAGGCTCAGCTCGCCATAATGCAGCAGCAGCAGCACCAGCACCAGGTATTGAACAACTTCTAGCATATTCAAAGTGATGAACAGCATCGCTTTTCCTTTTTTGTCTTGAATTTATCCTATTAGTTTACAAGAACGCTGCAGAATAAACGTGAGAAATTCACAGCGAGGGTCGGGTGAATGTTTTGGGTTTAGATCAGCACTGACTCTGGTGCTTCTATAAACACGGTAGTTAAAAGCTTTAAACTGTGATGGCAGAGTAAATAAACTCACTAATCCAGAGTGGGTAAACACTGCCTGATCTCCGGCCCCACAGCATTATTCTTAAATCACTCTAACGGTGAGCTGTGGCATGTTGAGGCATTAACCCGTCGCATCTTGTGCCAAACCACGCATCAGTGGTGGAAGGTTTCAACACTCAGGGGTGAATGTTTTTGTTTGTTTTTGTTTTCTCCTGGCTGCTTCCATGTTTGTCTCAGCTCACCCGTCTGGTTTTTCAGATGTGATAAATCACTCGCCGGCGATTATGATTGACAGTTTCAAAGTATTGTTTTATTTTTCTTTCACAGATGAGACAGAGCGCCTCAGGAGGTCAGGTGCGCCCATCTCTCCCCAACGGCCCCACTACCAACTCCCTCCCCTCCCCCAACCCCAGCCTGCACCCCATGCGGCCCCACCTGGGACCCCACCGGCCACCGTGTCCGCCTCAGCCACTGGCCAACGGGCCCATGGGCTCCGCGCTGCACGGACACTCGGACCCGCTCCCCGCGGGTGACAGTAGTAACAGTAGTAGTAATAGTAGTAGTAGTAATAATAATCAGCCAGGGCCCGCGCCCACAGGACCCAACGGAGACGTGCCTTACCTGCAACCTGCCGGCAGCGGCGGTGCAGCACTGCTACCTCACACCTGCACAAACACGCAAACACAGGACACCATGCCGCGCCAGGCCCTGCACCTAAACTCCTCTCAGGTGAGACGCCTCACTGATGGGCTTTGTTCTCTTTTGTTTTTTATTCCAGCGCTGGTGACGGTGCCTGCTCTGCTCTCAGCTGCCGTGTTAAGTAATAGATAAAAGCGTGATTTAATCCACAGAGCTACGTTCATAAAAGCTGTCAGAAACCATTGACATTACTTACATTTTTATTCATTTTAATTTGTATTTTTATTGAATTCATTTTTTCTACGTCTGTTTTCTATTATTATTTTATACACATGTGAGTGTGCATCCACATGGGCACATTTCTGGCTCTGACACAGAGCCTGTATAAAAGCCCAGCTTACACATCATAATTACAGCCACACGTGTCCATGGTTACTGCCTACGAGAGCACTTCCTAACAGCTGTGCTCTTTTTCCTTCAGGGGCTTCAGAAGGGGTCTGTTCCACATGGCTCCAGCAGTGAGGGGACCCTCTCTCACCCCGAGACCCCCAACTCCACCACCCTCGCGCACCCCAACAATCAGGTTGGACATTCCACTAATGCCCCGTCGCCGCGGCCTCATAACCACCTCCCGTCCCCGCCCTCCCTCCCCCACTCCTCTACCTCAGGTGGAGCAGGACCCAGTGTGTCCGCTACCAAAGATGGCAACGCCACAGCCGCGTCCCTCGGCAACGGCAACTCTGTGGTCAAGACACCGTCGCCGCTGCCATCAGCTGATGGCAAAGCAGCGCAGGGGGACGGCCTAGCCAATCACATCCACTCGGATGGCGGCAAAGTGGTAGAAGGCGGCGACAAGCCGAGCCTTAGCGCAGACAATCCTAGGCTATCTGCCCTGCTGGCAGGGGGGAAGGGTCCAGAGGAGAGCGAGGGGCCGTCAGAAGGGACTGCGCCTGCGGCATCCACCACCTCGGATCCCCACAAGAAAATCAACAACATCCACCCGGCCGTCCTGCCCTCCACCCCCCACGCACAGGGCAGCTCAGCTGCCTCCTCGCCCATCTCTGCCATATCCACCGCCACACCTTCGCCCAAATCCTCAGAGCACACCCAGGCATGTGGCCACAGTCCTGCTGGCACCGCAGCCACTGCACCCGCCGTCAACGGCAACAGCAAAGGAGGTATTTCCGAGGACTCCCAGAGCCCGCTGAAGGCTGAGCCGCCTGCCGTCACCAGTCTCAAAGCTACGCCTCCGCACGGACACAGCTCCTCGTCGTCGTCATCGTCATCTTCAATATCCATCTACCCCAGCTCCACAGACGTGCTGAAGGCCTGCAGGTGAGAAGCCTCATTGTTTTTCTTTCACATTATGGAGTCTTGCGGATGCACTCAGACAGCACGCTTCTTTCCTCTCGTCAGGAACGATCGCATTGGCGTTGTTGTTGTTGTTGTTTTTTGGTGCATGCACAAAGAACACGCAGTCAGGCTGCGACAGGGGTTTTAAGTGCATTAACAAAACACCAGTTTTCTGGCATCTTACAAACTGAGAGTGACTTAGAGCTGAGTATGTTCTGGCAAGAACAGCACTGAGTTAAGTGTGTTTGAGGTACTAATGGAAATGTGCAGCTGCTCCCGTGTAAATGAGAGAAAATGCGTGTGCCTCACTCAGCTAATTTAGTGCTGAAATGTAGCGTTTAAGGGTTTTCAATTATGTAACCTAATGTTTGGAACATGTCTGGAATGTTCTCCAAAGTCGTAGCAAAGTTTAAGACCATTTTTCTTATTTGCTGCCTGTGCAGAATGAGAGCAGGATGGCCGGGCAGTGTGGGTTGTTTTGAGCATGTCTCCTCCCTGTGGAATTGCAGTGTAACTGCAGTACTAACAGCAAATTATTATGTAACTGTCAACAACACCGAAGGCTACTGGGCAGTCTTGTTGCCATGCAGATATTATTCAGTTAAACGGAGCCCTTCATGTGATTACAGACCTTCCATCAAATGGAAATAAATGGTTTGAGGTTTTGTTTTTTGTTTTTTTTTAGTTTACATTTTTTGTATTAAAATGTGCCATCACACCTTGCATTGTTCTAATGATACCACTGATATTGCTGAGAAGGAATTTGAGAGAAGTGTTTGCATCACTGCTGTGGCTGAGGAGGTTTTGTGTGCTATGCATGTGCAGAAACCTGGGGAAGAACGGTCTGTCCAACAGCAGCATCCTCCTCGATAAGTGCCCCCCGCCACGCCTGCCACCTCCACCCTCACCAGCCCTGCCCAAAGACAAGCTCAACCCTCCCACACCTAGCATCTACGTGAGTATCAGCCTTCAGCAAAATAAGTACATTTTAAATTTCTTCAGTTTTTAGCGCCCGAATTAAAAAAATAATTACTTTCTGTTTCCTGTGGCTGGACCAGCTGGAGAACAAGAGAGATGCTTTCTTCCCCCCGCTGCACCAGTTCTGCACAAACCCCTCCAACCCCGTCACTGTCATTCGAGGACTGGCTGGAGCTCTCAAACTGGGTAAATGGCTCCGTTACAAACGTGTGTGTGTGTGTGTGTGTATGTTTGCCGTCACAGAGATGATCGGAGCTTCATCTGTGTGCGGGTGTGTTTCTTCACGCAGACTTGGGTCTGTTTTCCACAAAGACGTTGGTCGAGGCCAATCCAGAGCACCTGGTGGAGGTCTGGACTCAGCTCTCCCAGCCCGCCGATGAGAACTGGGATCCGACCGGCACCAAGAAAATGTGGCGCTGTGAGAGCGCCCGCTCCCAAACCACCATCGCCAAATACGCCCAGTATCAGGCCGCCTCCTTCCAAGAGTCCCTGCGGGTCAGTTCCACTTTGCCTGTCACTTCAGAGACTGTAGAGAAAGATTCAGCTCGACTATAATCCTGAACTCACACGTTTTTGGTTTGTTTGCAGGAAGAGAATGAAAAGAAGGCACTGAAGGAGCCCTCAGACACAGAGCCAGCGTCAGCAGAGAGGTACCTATCAGCGTTCTTTAATAAAGACCCAGGTTTAATTATTTTGGCCCTGTTACAAAATCTCCAGGCGCTGATTTTTGTTCAGCTTTTCTCTGGTTTTCTGCAGAAACATACTGCAGAACATACTGAACATATTTTCTGCGAGTGATTATGGTCGTACTCTGTGTGTGGCTTATTGGGAATTCTCTGTGTGTCTTAAGTGCTGCCCGCAAAAGAAGGGGACCTTTGAAATACATCAAGTTTGGAACCAACATCGACGTGTCGGACGAACGGAAGTGAGTCTCATCTCAAAGTCTCATCTGCCTTTCATAGCTTGTCTCTCGAGAGTGTAACCCAGAAAAAACAGAGCTGCCTGTGTGAGAATCTGTTTGATTTCTTTGCTCTCCCTGAGTTAAAGTCTGAACTATTTGAGCAAATTTCAACCAAAAATAAGAGAACTGCTCATCTGAACCATGTTAAACTTGGCACTGTGGACACGTACGCAGCAGTACATCTGCCTTATTATTATTATTGTTGTTGTTATTAATACGATACTTTAAACAGTTTGAGTTAAGCACCGCTCTCGTCTCACCTGCCAGGTGGAAACAGCAGCTCCAGGAGCTCAGCAAACTCCCAGCCTTCGCTCGAGTGGTTTCCGCCGGCAACCTGCTCAGTCACGTGGGTCACACCATCATGGGTATGAACACAGTCCAGCTCTACATGAAGGTGCCTGGGAGCCGGATACCAGGTCAGCACACTAACAAGAAATTATGTCTAAAGTATTCATTTAGTTATTTATTTTTGAAGTGGTCAAAGAACATTTGTTCCCTCCCCCACCCCCCCACCCAGGTCATCAGGAACACAATAACTTCTGTGCCGTCAACATCAACATTGGACCAGGAGACTGTGAATGGTTTGCAGTACCGGAGCCCTACTGGGGAGTGATGAGCAACTTCTGTGAAAAGTAAGGAGCTCTTTATCTTTCTCCTCTCGTTCTCTCAGCTTATACGTACGCGCCTCCCAACCTCTCTTCTCAAACTCCTCCTTCCTCCAGGAACAACATCAACTTCCTGATGGGCTCGTGGTGGCCTAACCTGGAGGACTTGTACGAGGCCGACGTGCCCGTCTACCGCTTCATTCAGCGCCCGGGCGACTTGGTGTGGCTTAACACTGGCACAGTGCACTGGGTGCAGGCTATTGGCTGGTGCAATAACATCGCCTGGAACGTGGGACCTCTTACCGGTATGAAGTCATAGAGAGCATATTTTCTCTTAATAATAATAGTATTAGTAATAAACCATTTTCACCCACAGTTATAGCTCAGAAGCACTGAGGTGTGATTGAAGGGTTCTGATCCACAGCCGGGTTGATTTTATTTTCGCCGCCAGAAGGAAAATGTAAAGCAGCCGTTACACTCCGCCAGAGTCCGCTGACAGAAAACGAGCAATTTTACCTCCAAAGCTGGAGTTTGTGTACTCGTGTTTCTCCTGTGAGATTAAAAATATAGAGGCTGGCGGCTTTGAAAACAGCTTTTAACCACTTTTAAACCCGTCGTTACCCTTGACTGAGGCAGGCCTCGTATTTCAGGCCATCTCTCTGCTTGTTAAAGCAAGAAAACAGTGATTTTAAACATCTGTTACTGGAAAAGTCTCTATTTGCTCATCAGCTGGGAGCCAAAGTTGAGAAGCATTCAGAATATGAATACATTTGTGATGCTCTGACCTTTCTCCGTAATGTTTCCCTGCTGATTTTTGCCCTTTTCAGCTGATTAACGAGCTGACTGCAGCGCAGTTTTAAATCCACGTAGTCTGTGTGACTGTTTATGCTTACGCTGACTGATGAAGGGCTCCTGGCTGTCGGCATCCCGTGCGTGTCTATGTCCAATAAAGTCCAGAATGTTCTCCTAAATCTTTAAACTGCTCTTTCAGCTCACCAGTACAAGCTGGCTGTGGAGCGATACGAGTGGAATAAGCTCCAGAGCGTCAAGTCCATGGTTCCCATGGTACACCTCTCCTGGAACATGGCGCGCAACATTAAAGTGTCCGACCACAAGCTGTTCGAGATGATCAAGTAAGTCGCGGGGGCTTCTGCAGCTTCTTTTTTTCCTTTCTTTTCCACCCATCGCTGACGCCTCTGTTCCCGTCACAGGTACTGCTTGCTGCGGACGCTGAAGCAGTGCCAGTGGGTGAAGGAAGCCTTGGCGGCAGCCGGCAAGGAAACGGTGCTGAGGCCGAGGACCAGGGACGAGCCGGCCCACTACTGCACCATCTGTGAGGTCAGTGAACAACACCGGGAACATTGCAGCACCAGGGGTGTGAATTTTAACAGGATGTCACATTTTTCTGGCTTTGCAGCTTTTTCGAGTGAAAGATAATAGTCGTCGGCGCAATCGTTCCCACTCACATCCTGAATATTACTCTGCACCCTGGATTGTTAGATTAGAGAAGTTTAGTCCCTTAACTGTGTGTTTCACGTGTGAATTATAAGCATGTGGCTCAGGTAGGTAGAGCAGGTCGTCTGCTAATCAAAAGGATGATAGAAGAGGATCAAAAGCGCTGTATAAGAGCCAGTCCATTTACCACATAATGTAAAGTAAATGTCAATAGTAGAAATGAGCAGCCAATTTATTTTATTTATTAATTTCCCACCACTGTGGACGTGTATAACCTTTAATCTAACACGTGTGAAGGAAAGCAAGCATAGGCTAAATCCTGCTCGTTTCCCCTCCTGTTTCCTTTTTTTGTTTTTGTTTTTGGACAGCACGAGCACTTATTGCGATCAGCTGAATTAAAGCCGGCTCGGTTTTTGTTTGCGTTAATTAACAGCTTCGTTAATGGCTCGTATTTAAGCAGGGGGGGGGCTTTCAGCTGCTTTTTTAGAAAAGCTTTCCATTAAGCGTCTTTTGTCAATTGCTGTGATAATCGCAGACAGTTGCAAGAGAAGCTCAGCCTGTGGATTTAGTTTTGTAACGCGTGTTTTTGTGTGTGTGATCCACAGGTGGAAGTGTTCAACCTGCTGTTTGTGCGCCGCGAGCTCCTGTCCAAGAAGCAGTGCGTGGTCCACTGCCAGGATTGTGCCCGAAAAGGCAGCGCCGCACTGGACGACTTCGTGGTGCTGGAGCAGTACAGGATGGAGGACCTGATGCAGGTCTACGACCAGTTCACATTAGTAAGTCGTTAGATTTGTCAGTGCCCCAAAGCTCATATCACTACTATTTACACACAACCGATAAGTGCCATCTTATTTGCCGATAGCTGGCCAGCAGGGCCGATATTAGCCCATATGAAACATCAGCAGTGGCGGGAACTCACTGCAGAGGATTTGAACTTGAGGAATAATCGCTCTGTACCATCTCTCCTTCTCTCTCTGCGCAGGCCCCTCCTCTTCATTCATCTTCGTCTTGACATTAGGCGACTCTTCTTCTGCTGTGGAGCCATGAAGCCCATTTACAGGAACTTGTACTGAGATCTAAAAAAACTGAAAGAACAAACATACACGGACCATTTCTGATATTCAGGAAAGCCAAGGCCGACTCTACCCGACCCCCTCATCACCACCACCACCACCACCCACCCTCTCTGCCGCCCCTTCTGTATGGCTGGTCTCCATAGCGACGGCTGGAGGCTGAGGCGGCGGAGCGTGTCTGTCTATGCAACCCCTGTACAAAGAGCCCGGCGGAGGGCCTTCCACAAGAGGGCGCCACACTGAGCTCCATAACAGGACTCTTGTTTTCTCTCTTTCCCTCCTCCTCCTGTTCTCCGCCTTGCCAGGCCACCCACCCACCTCTCCTCCCTCCCCACTCCTCCTCTAGAGACAATGGCTCAGCCCTGTTTTAATTGAGGACTTAATCAGATGATCGGGAACAGGGAGGGGAAGGTGGGGTGGGGGGCGGGGACAAGGGGCAGGGGTGTTTTGTAGATACTTGTTAACTCTCCCAACTGGCAACACCACCCGTAAAAGACTACTGACTTGACAACCCGTCTTTCTCTCTCTTTCTGTTTCTTTCTCCTTGTTTTCTATTCCGATGACTGGGTGATTTTTTTTTTTTTCTTTTTTTTCTTTTTGTGGAGGGGGGTAGAACTTCCCCCTCCAAAAAAAAAATTTCTTCAGTCCACCCTCCTCCTTCTTCTCCCCCTTTAAGGAGCACTAGCCTAACTGGTCTTTTTCTATGGTAGATAGTAACTTTAAGAGTTTGGAAAAGCAGAATCCTCCCTACCTGACCCCCACCCACCAAAAAAATAAAATAAAATTAAAAAAATTTGTAATGTGAAGAATTTAGGTGAATTTAGGTTCTCCCCCCTCTCCCCCCCTTTTTTTTTTTTTTTTTTTTTTTTTCTTTTGTTCACAGCTTTTATGTATTTTATCTTCGTCTCGTTCTTTTCAAAGCTTTGATGTTTTTGTTTCTTAGGTTTAACAAAAAAATAAACAAAAAAATAAGGAAAAAAAAAGAAAAAATAGGGAAAAAAACTTACTAGCCAAGTCACAAAGAAAATGGGTTGCACATAGACTTATGGAATTAAGTTTAATTTGTGATTTTGTTTTGTTTGTTTTTTTGTTTTATGTTTCTAATCTTGATGTAAATTTACACTATTTATAAATACATATTTATTGCTTGAAAATATTTGTTGATGGAATGCTGTTATTTTTTCCAGAGTACCTGCCATTAAATTTGAAGGAGTTTTGTCATTTTAACACGACTCCTTTTACATTTTATATATATATAAATATAAATATATATATATATAAATAAATTGCTTAGCAAGCGTTGTACAGAAACGGACATTTAAAATTGTTTTATTGTTTGAAGAATGTTTTATGATGAGTCAATAAACACAAAGTTGACAAATTATCTGCAGTTTTCTTGTTTTGTTTTTTTTGTTGTTGTTGTTTTTTGGCTTCCTGGAACATACAAAGCACATTCGTATACATTCAGTAGGAGTAAAAATACATGAAACAATGCAGGTGTCGGGTGGAGGCCTGAAACCCAGCAGACAATGTAGCTGTAGACTGACACACACAGATTCCTACACTGTATGCCAGGTTCAGAACTTAACCAGGTTCTCAGAACTTCTCTTACTTTTATTCGAGAAACAAACTCCAGAGTCCCCGCATGGCCTCGGATCAACTCCGCCTGAGGCTTTTTTCCACCCAGTGGGTGGTTATTTGAGACACTTCTTAGAAATTTAAAAGGTGCGTAGTAGAGGAGATCACAGGAAAAGGGTGTAAGCTACACAGAAAACTCAAACAGGAAATAATACACTAATCCTGCTGATAAGGAATTTCAAATGCCAGTGGAAAAAAAAAAGAAGAAGAGCAAAATATATTAAAAATCACCTAAAGATTGTATTCAGAATAAGGCGGCTGTCAGCAGAGACCCAGTAGCCAGATGTAGCTGCTGCCAGCCCCACAGGATCTACACTGACTACTGAGCAACCGCTGGGTGCCCTGCGGCTTTGCAGCTCCGTCTGGAGCCAAAACTGGAGCCACTGTTCAGCCGAGATAGGAAATGATGAGGAGGGGAAACGACTTCAAGCTGCTTCAGACTGCTGCGGATGTAATGCAGGTGAGGATGTGGATACAGTTTGTAATGACATAGTCACACACCAATAAATTAAAAAAACAAGAGAAAACACTTTTTTTTTTTAACATAGTGCTCCAACACAAAGTCCTTGAAAATGAGAGGTACATACACTTGAACATGTTCATTTTACATAGAAGCAGAGCCACTAACAATGCTGCAACAGGCAGACACCCTTTTCCCGCTTGCACCTTCACCCTGCCAATTTCCTCTGTTGACAACGTGCAAAAAGGTTGTTTGCAGGAGTCTATTTTCCACATAAGATCCTTTGGTAGTGCAACAACCCTTTTTACACTCCCTGCAACAGCGAGGAAGTTGTTTTTGGTGTTCGTGTCTTCCGATGTGTTTTAATTTAACCGAGCCACTGTGGGTAAATCACTGAAAACGTCCCAGACCACTTAGTCTCTTTTCTCCTGTACAGACTTGTTTCATTGTCTGATCTTTTTTTTTTCTTCTTAATTACTTGATCATATTGGATGTTATATAACCACCAGTGACATGGAAAAATGTGTATTCCCTGGCTGATTGGCAGTGGTTCCTGGAGGTTGCTGGCTATTGCTGGGCAATATTGGTTGCAAAGAAGGTGCTGCACCAAAAACCTCCCAGTGACAGCCACGGTCACTGGAGTTTTTCCAACTTTTGTCTGCACATACTGGCTAACTATTAGCCTGAGCGGTAGAAAAACTCAAAAAAGCAAGATGCAAACTGAAAATGCAGAAGGTCTGCCAACTTTTACTTTGAAGGCAGACGCTCTTCATTTAAGGTTTTTGTTGCACTTTTTTTTCACACTTCTGCTACAGGTTGGAGAGCAGCTGGCCAGTGTTTGTAAGTCCATCACTTCCATTCAAACTATGACTGCCTTAATGTGCTAGGGGCCAGAGCAGTCACAAGCTTTTGCCAAACAGCTGGGGAATACGCATTGTTTTCTAGCGACCGTTGGTCTGTAGGCCTGCGTTACTGGGGACTTTAGCAATCAATGTCCCAGCGACTGCTGTAAAGTTTGCTTTGCAACTGTAGGTTGCCAGATGGTCACTGACTGGTCTCTAGACCTGAGTGACCGGGGCCTGATTCACTATATTCTAAAGTGAGTATTGACTGTCAAACGTGCAAACTGTCTAGCGCAAAAATTCATAGTTCCCTTTAGGATGAATCCTATAGATTTGACATTTCATCAAGCAGCAGCATTTCCTATTTAGCAAGTTCTACTTTACATGGTAAATTATTGACATCTGTATAACGTCATTCATGTTGAAATCTACTAAAGGAAGTCAGTACCTATTGATTTCTATTTTACAATGCCCAACTGTACAGAAGAAATTAACGTGTTTATACCTTTGGACAAAAACACTTTTGGAAGTTTTTGCTAATTTTTGACTGACAGGTGGAAGCCGGTGATAGATAGTATAAAAGATGGATGTAGCCACTGTGATGCCAGGTACTGGTTTCTAAAGTCCCGCATTGAAGCCTCAAGATGAGTATTTTTACCGTCTCCATCTTGTGGCGAAACGGGATGGGACTCGCTGTGAAACTGCTTGCTTATTGGCTAACAAATCTCAATCTCTTAGCAAATGAGCACAGCCTGAATAAAACTCAATTCTGAAATGCAAAATACGATCTAAGCATCAAAGTGTTTAGAGGTCACATCAGCAGAAATTAATTGCTACATGTAGCTGTGGCTGCTAGTTCTATGCTAGGCTTCACTTTAGTTAATCTGCATCAAAACTGGGCCTCTTAACCTGTTTGGGCCGTTGATGCTTTTTCATATATTGTTAAATTCTGCTAACAGACCATCCACGAAGCTGGCTCTAGTGTTGGTGGGTGAAATTCTAGCTCTTTATTAGTCTGTTACTTAGTACTGATTAGCAGTTTTATAGATATATTTTGCTAACTTAGCACTCCATCTTCTTATCTTATTTTCATTACTGCTAGGTACACAAAAATGAAATGGTGACAGCCTTGAAGCTAAAGTTGAACCTTCGAAAAGGGGTTTCACAAACCAGTGAATGACATCACAGCAGATACGTCTGTATTTTAAATATTGAACGTATGTTAGCATTTGGCTATAGGGGTTGCTGTGTCTGAAAGAACAATGGTTCAGGTACATGTGGGAAAAGAGTTAAAGTTCCTTCTTTGTCTCGCTTTTTTTTTTTGCTTTTTAAGCAGCACACAGTCCCTCTGCACCCACGCTGAAAACAAGATGGCCGACTGAGCCCGCTCAGACTGGTTGTCGGCGTCCATCTTGACTGCCACCGATGGACACTGGAAGACTTCGCGCCTCCTTTTCTCCGGAGAGTCGACTCTTCTGTTTGACAGTCTGACAGGAGGCCTGGAAATAAAAAAAGATGTCTGGGTGAGAACGGCAACCATGGCAAGAGGACAGTTTTATACTATTGTTTGTTTCATACTCAAACAACGGCAAACATTTAAAGCAGCAGCAGGCAAAAAGTGGTGCTTATACGTGCTGTATGTATTTTGGACAGTGTAGTACAGTGTGCCTCTCTGAAACATTTTCACTCGACACCCACAAACTATTATTCTGGCGGAGGCGCACAGGAACAAAACCAAGTGTGGGCTGAAAATCGTGATTCTAGGAAACAAGATGCCAGCTGTAATGTCAGTTAAGAAGACGGAGACTTCCTGTTGGCTGTTTGACACGACCGAGGGAGGAAATGTCAGTTTTGTGCTACAAGGTTAAAATTAAAAAAGTGTAGGGGGAGGAAAGGGTGTGGGGGGCTGAGGGTTTTTCTTTTTTACTCTACTTCGCCTCCATTCATCCTTCTGCCCCCCACACACACACACACACACTTTTCCTTAACATACGGTATGGTTAAGTACACTAAACTGTAACTATTCGCTCTCATTTCCCTATATATAAAACCCTACAGGAATTCCACATAGCCTGGACCACCAACCAACCCCCTCAACCCACCCCCTGCTAGTGGTCCTCAAATCCTGCCTACCTAACAATGTCTCCCTGTGTCACAGCAGGGGATAAAGAAAGCGAGAGAGATTTAAATTAGCGGAGTGATCGATATCCCCTCCGTCCCTACCCCTTCCCACTCCCACCCTGTTTTACCTTCCTCTCTGCCCTCTCTGGCATTTCCGCTTTAGTGAGAAACAGACAGGTGGCCCTGACTGCTAATTTTAAACAGGCCGATTGTCTGCTTGTGTTTCCCACAGCTATGTATAGATGCCAGCAATAAACCAAGTAGGTCAGTGTGTGACAGACACACACACACACACAAACAGGGCCCCGACCTCTAAAAATGTGTGACTTGTCCATTCATCCACTCCCACTTCTGTTGCAAAATTATCCTTCCTGATTGGCTGTCGTTGTCAGCCAATGGTAGAGCTTCCTGCTGCCCATTCATAAAACCCAGGGTCATTGAAGATAATGTGGTATGAAGGCATGTGCGAAGGAGGAGAAGCAAGCCCACTTTTTTTTTTTTGAACTTTAGCGTCATGGAGTGCAACCACGTTTTTGATGTGAGAGCTTGACGTTACTTAAATGCAGATTACAGAAAAACAACAAAGCAGGTTTAGTAAATGCGAGCTCGATCTGGAAACAGTGCAAGCGGCGAGTAGATTTGAAATTTGTGCAGCTCTGTGTCAAATTCAGACCTTTAAATGAAAAATGGCCGACTGCAGCCTTGACACAAAAGCATCACATTCCTTTCTGTTTAATAAGTAATGAATGGTGGGCCTCTCAGACCACGATACCCCCCACCCCCTTGTTTTCTCAGGTTCTCACTCTCTCAATCCCCTTCCATGCCTCATATTTTACTCAAAAGCTTTTTTTTCACTTTGCTTCTTCTCCTTGCTCCTCCTGTAATTACCACTACTGCTGTTTTTCTGACTTGTTTCATAGTAACCATCCCCTTACCCCCCTCCTGAGAGCTGCACATATATATATAGAAAAGTGTGACTGTGTCAAAGTGACTCACTTTGCGCGCAGCTTAATGTGTGACATCCAAGGCTCATAGCTGTGAGGGGCGAGGGAGCCAGATGAAACATTCCCATTCAATTAAGAGCACCTCATGTTTTAGGCTAATCAGCTGGCAATACTGACTGGAAACTGTTGCTTTTGATATTTGTTTTTTTAAGATCAGGACACTGAGATTTCCTCGCTAAACATTATGAAGATTAATCTCTTTCATCTGTGTCCTGTCTGCCGGAGGTTTCTTCCTGTTAAAAGGGAGTTTTTCCTTCCCTCTGTCGCCAAGTGCTTGCTCAAAGGGAGTTGTTTGATTATTGGGGTTTACTCTGTTTTATTGTAGGGTCCCTGCAATATAAGCGACTTGAGGCGACTGGTGTTGTGATTTGTGGTTATATAAAAAAAACTGAAATGAAGTGAACTGCAAGAACCCACAAGAACTGCAAAAATCTGTATAGACCTCAGAGTTTCACGACTGCCCATGAATCTGTTTGCACACAAAACCCCCCCAAATATTTGCAGGAATATTGGGTTACCATAGTGAGTTGGCACTTGGAAGTAGCAGGTTTGCAGGTCCTGTTTAAAGGGATCTTTTTGGGGGTGAACGTCACGCCAAATGGCACTCAAAGCACTGTAAGAAATCCGGTGTGTATTTCCAGAAATATGGACGTAGTGATTCAAACAAATTTAGCTTGGTGTGAGCAGTTTCATCCACCAACCAAAAGTAGCAGCTAGCTGACATTGCAGCTCAGCTGAGAAGGGAAGTGGGGGACGCCATTCATGTTTCTTTCCGGTTAGGATCCCTGGTTTGAGACTGGGAGGAGATCGTTAGTGTCCCCTTATTCAACTTATCCCGAGCCCAGCTAAACGGGAGGGTTGTGTCAGTGAGTGTATCCTGTGTAAAACAAAACAAAACAAAAATCTGTGCCAAGCCAAACACGCAGATCCATCTGCTGTGAAAGGGAGCAGCTGAAAGTACCCCACATTCATAAGGCATCTTACATCAACACTTTCTATATGGATAAACTCATTTTGTGGTGAAATGTCCCTTTAGCACTATTTCAAATTAAACTGCCTGCAGATAAATAGCAGCCATGTACATGATTACTCTTAACTCTTATATCTACTTGATCAAATGTAAAATCAGTGCATGTCAGTGACGACAGACTGATACTGTTATAAAACGCAAGCATGAAAAAAACATAAAATCTTTATGTTCGAAGCCACCGAGATGAAACGTAAACCGTGGCCTCCATCAAATGAAGAGATGCGAGGCATGTTTGTGACGGGCTATCCAAGATAACAAAAAATACCAGGAAAAAAAATCGAGGTGCTACCCATTGCCATGGAAACGGAGAGTAATTAGCACAGAGTGCTGTTCAGAGAAAAGCGGAGAGGAAGAGGGAGCATGATTTTGTCTGTGTGGGATGTTGGCCTGTTTTCAAGAGATGGGGAATGAGAGGAGGATGAGGAGGACATGAAGCGGCCTTCGCGCTGCAGGTTTCAGGTGTCCTTGCAGGCCGGAAAGGGGGGGGGGGGGCAAACTTTCACTGCTCAATTTGATTAAGAAATCATCAGTTGGCGTTTTTGGAGGAAAGATCTGGGCAGATTTTCTCACTGCTGCTCTATCCAGCACCCCCCACACCCCCTCCTCCCTTCCTTTCCTGAAGCCTCGCTGCATGTTTATACAGAGACTGCGAGTGGAAAGCTGGGTTCAGCTGTTGATCTGGCTCATGCTGCTTACAGTCCCCCATGTACTACGGATGTGTCTGTCCATCTGTTGGTCACGTGACGTTCAGTCTCACTAATGTGATTTCTGACAAAGAGGGAGCGCGACTTTGTTTCCCAGCGCTGGATATCAAAGGCTGAGCCACCAAAGTCAGCGCACTCCTTGGGCTGGCTGCGTTGACTTTTCAAAGCATGAGTAATGTTTGATATTTAACGTCGACGTCACTGAAACGGCAGGACGTTTTGATGTAGAAAGCCATTCTTTTGCATCGAATTTTGAACGTATGTTTAATAGTCGCTTTTAAATCAAGAGTCAGAAATGATGGGTTTGAAGTGTGGGAAAGTCTTGGAACGACCCCACTGATAATCCAGGAGTGGTGACGCATCCTGTCACCGATTGGCCCTGGGCTTCCTCACATCAATCATACCACATGACACATTTCCTTGCATAACGTTCATTACTGAACTTTTATTTATAAAGTTGACTCAGGACGCTGCTGTTTATCCCAAATGTCCCTCAGATTCATGCATTTTCACTCAGTGGCCTGCATTTTCTAGGTTTAGTGCCTTGCTCAAGGACCGTGAGTTGACCCCTTGGGGTTGCAACAGGATTGCCCCCCATGCAGAGCAGCTCTACCAGCCAGCAGCAGCTCTAATCTAAATCTGATCTTTAACTAGACGATGCTTTAAAAGTGCATTTCTCATCCAGGTTGGAAAAACACCCACACAGTTGGTACACAATTTACTGCCGTTCTTCAACAACTCCTCAATCACCCTCCTCTCTGCAGCAGCTAATGGCAGCCAGGAGCCCACGAGCGCGTATATGCTAAGAACAATTATGCAGATGTGTGCTAAAACCACTTTGGTGGTATAATCCAACAATCAGTCCATTATAGTAATTGTCGTTAGCGAGTGGGCGATTATGGCTTCGACAGAGACGCTGAAGAACAGCCAGCCAGAGCTCTGCTGGTTTTATGCAAATTTGGCAAGCTCCATTTAATATGTCAGATGTAATGTGGCTGTATTTCTAAAATTCTGACGTTTGAGCCGGCCTCGGAGAGAGTCTGTGTGTGTGTGTGCGAGACCACCTGTGGGTTCGTAGGCAGACGTTAACGGTAAAAGGAAAATTGATTGAAATAATGAACCAGGCCGCTTTTCTAAGGGACCGTGTTCGAATTATCAGAAAGGGGAGGGGTCAGATTGGAGGACGGTTATGGATTTTTATTATTATTTTTTTTTATTTTTAAGGAGCAAAAGGTCTTTAAACTTCCCAAGTACTGCAGCACAAGTGTAGCTGCTGGAAAACAGTTACATCACATGCTTTTTGCCTACGTCATGACCCGCTACGATGCATGAAGCAGGCAAAAAGCTTGTGATGTAACCCTGCTCATGTCCTGCCCTGCAACTAAATGCAATTTCAAGGTGTTTTATTTGAAATTACAATCCAATAGAATAAGGTGTTAACAAGCAAAGTTTTTACAAGAAACAAAGTAAGTAGTGTGTAAGTAATTTGAATTTGTACGTACTTTTCTGGTAATTTAGCGGAAAACAAAAAAGTATTTTCCCTCATTTTATATTGTAAATATGCTGTACTTTTTGGGGCACGGGCTGTATGGTAGGGTGACTTGACCATGCCCATCTTTCTTTTTCTTCGTTATTTAATAATCATTACATTGATGTACATGAATGATTTTCTATTATTCAGTCGGCCTTTTTATTTCACTCACGCTTTACATTACTTACCTAATTTTCTGTAAAATACCCAGAAGTTGGGCAAGGTTATGACACTTCATAATACGGCCTCAAACAGTACAGCATGCTTGAGATGTTGTTTGTTTTTCTGCTAACTTATGAGGAAATTACGCATTACTTAAAATGACTTAAAGTATAATTACTTGTTTCCTGTAAAAACCTGATTTGTTACCCTACTAACTCTAAGTATTTTAAATAAGTAAATTACATTGTAATTTCAAACAAAATACACTGAAATTCCATTTAATTACAGGTGAATTACACCCTAAGTCATTGGCTGTTTTATGAATTGTTACCTTGTGTCTTTGTGACAGGCTTTCCTATCCAGAAAAGCTACACTGTATCACCAATGTATCCTTTAAGAGGAAACCCTTAAATATGGCTTGTTACAGCTAGCAAGAACTGAATACGATTTCTGTAAGTGGTCATTTTAAGCCAGGAATTCCCCATAATTTTAAACATATCAGACATTTATCAAATAAACAGAGTTTACCTTAAAGCTAACAAGTTCTCAATGCAATTCTACAAATAAAATCAGGTTTTGTCTTATTAAAAATCTCCAAAGGAGTCATTTTTACACGTTCTCTAAATCATTTGAGTCAGCTAAACATCTGAGGTAAACTCATTATTATTATTATTATTATTATTATTATTATTATTATTATTATTATTATTATTATTATTATCGACATTTGTAGTTCTCCTGCACTCATACGTGCTGAGGTCATCTGACTCGCTTTGTCCAGTTGTAACGCATCAGCTGGGAGCTTAGGGGTGTCATGTGAGGAGGCAGCATGTCAGCAGCAGCAATAATGTGGTTACCGTAAAAAGGAAGGCAAGGAATGTATCCTAAATTCAACCCCGGTCCTCCTCCTCCCTTTCAGTCATGGGTTCTCCGCTGGGTAATCGCATACCAAAAACACAAGAATTTCCCCCTCTCTCCTCTCCAGGCAGGGGCTACCCCCCTCCCTTCCCTCTTTAGTGTAAAGCCTGATGAATTTCACCCGGAACAAACCGGGAACTTTATGTGTTTAAGAGTTTTTTCTTTCTTTTTTGTTTTCTTTCGTTTTTTGTGGTTTGAAATAAACTAAATATAGAGACGAGCATACTTAGTAATAGGAAATGAATAATATGATATATATTTAGTAATACCAAAAATAACTGCAGTCCAAACATGTCATTATTCATATTAACTCAATAGGCGACTTGATTAATTGATAGTAGAATGGCTGAATTATTTTATTTATTAATTAAGCTGTAAAGTAATTTCAAAGCAAACATATAGAATTAACCATATTATAATCTTATTTATAAGCATAAATACGGTATATATAATGTACTGACAGCCAATATGGGAAAGGAAAAAAAATGATATGATATGATATGAAATGGGTAAATATTGCAAGTTTGTGCGGCTCTTATTCTGAAACTCGCAACCGGATTTGCGTCCCTTGGTGTCAGAGTTTTGACAGCGGTGGCATCGGTTCTGAGAGCGGCTTTGAGAGCGGTTTCCAAACTGCACTTAATGTGAAAAATAGAGAGAAAACGCCGGGCGCATTCCTGAGACTCAGAGACATCCATGCCCGACCGACACAGACACAACTTGTAGTCTGTGTGTGTGCATGTGCAGGCGTGTGCGCCCGCGCACAAACCGTGCGTCTCTGCGTGGGTGGAGAGCTTGGAGACCACACACTTTGCGCATTGCCCCCCCCCCCATCCCCCCCAACACACACACACTCACAGGACCGAGTACCACACTTGGCACTCAAAGTAACTAAACATTCAAGTTGACAAAAAGAAAAACACAACTTGAATGTTGAGCAGCACTTAAGATATGTCTTTGGGTTTTTTTAAAAAGTGCGTAAAAATGCCCCTCTGTTTTTTTTTTGTTAACCAAGTGGTGAGACTGAAATGTGCTCCATGGAGAAGCCCCGCATGGCCAAAAGCAGAGCACAGCCGAGGTGATGAGGTGGGCTTTGGTCAGCGTGAGCGTTCACTTGAGGAAACCGGTGTTAAATAATAACAATAAATAACATTAATAACAATAACAACAACAGGAGCACGGTATTGTTTTCACGGTTTCCCGTCCGATCACACTCCGCGTTGCGCAATCTGCATGGATAAAGCTGTGAACGGAATGGTGCCACAAACGAGAGAGAGAGTGAAAGAAAGTCTATTAAAGTTGCTTTTCTCCAGCACGGGCTGAGGCAGCAGCAGCAACACTAACGGCCGGCGAAAGTTGTTGTGCCTTCCCCGGAGATAGAAAGCGTCGTTATGAAAAGTGGCTCCACTTACCGTGGCTGGCTCTGCTGGCCGCATGTCCCCATGAGAACACTGTGCGTGTGTGCACAAGACGCATGCCGATACTAGCGGTCGGAAGCGCAGCGCGACACGTCAACGCGTGCTGCTTCCCATATCATAAAAGAGGAGGAGGGGTAGTGGTGGTGCTGGGGGGGGGCTTCAGCTGCTGCCTTGGTGGTGCACTAACTGGGGTCCGGGGAAGTCTGGGTTTGGGGTCCGATGTAAGAATATATATATATATATATATATATTTATCATTTTCGAATTAGACTTTCTGTTCAACCCTTTCTGTATTATTTAGACCAGCTTGGTTGACTTTAATTGTTTGCTAATTGTAATTTCTGTTATTTTAAGCACCACTGAACGACACAGGAAATCATTCCTGCCTGTGGCCATCTCCCTGTACAACGCATCCACTTAACACACTGTTTGCTGCTACAGCTACACATGTTTCTTTTCCAACTATTTATTTATGAGTGAAGTATGTATGTGTATATATGTATATATTGTACTATTCTTAGTTAGTGTATTGTCTGTCTTGTCTTAATGTTGGTTTAAAATGGAGCACTGTAACAAAAAAATAATTTCCCCCTGGGATCAATAAAGTATTCTGATTCTGATTCTGATTCTGATTCTGATTATGAGAATTTCTGAATTTCAGAGGGGGGGGGGGGGGGTTGGAAAGCATGTGACTACCAAGAACTCCAAAGCAGAGTCTTTAGGGAAAAAATTGTGCATTTACCTCGCACAAGTTGTACAATAAACTGATTTGAAGCCTTCATGAGTGCAGATCTCTGGTGCCTGGTTCTATTATTTTATTTAATTAATTATTTCAACTTCAATTATTGGCCACTTAACAATAGTTCAGCCAATCAGCGGTCAAGAAGCAGACCTAGTGCTTCAGAAATACATATTCACTGACATCCTGTTTTTTACTACGTTTTTCTATTGAACATTTTGGATTAACCCCGCCCCCCCCCAAAAAATAAAATCTCAGAATCGTAGATGCAGGTGTGAATGGTGTTCTGTCACCTGATGATTCACTGCTTAATCTCTCATTTTACAAGACTGCAAGCATTGCTAGATCACTCATCCTTCTTATGGGGGAAAAAAAGAGGATCCCTTGTAGACACACATGGGTGACATGTCTCGGGACTGAGTTGCTACAGGACTCGTGGCTCATCCCTTTTGTTTCATGGATAATGTGTCACATGGGCATTTAAGTAACCACTGCATGCATTTTCAGTCTTTCCTACTGTATGCAGCAGCATATCATTTCATTAACCCCCCTCCCCCCAGCAGAACTCATCTTTACCAAGCCTGTTGGTGATGTTCCCACCCTGCACTCAGCCTGAATGAATCCTGCAGCATGATGCCAGTCCGGTGGCACGCTGCTCTTTTTAATTGAAGAGCTAACAAGAGTGAATGGTGTCATCTGCAGAGGAAGGAAGCCTGGGAGATTTGTACTCCTGCTGCTGCTGCTGCTGCACTGTGAAGCCAAACGACTGGCATCTCTCATCTCACACACACACTCTCACTCTCTCTGCAGCAGCGACTCCACACCGAAGCACGGGCAGCACGAGACACACACAGGCATACAAATGGGCACCCAGGCTGTATGCGCACGTACATCACACTGAGGAACACAGAAACATCAAGTGCTTACCTATGAGCTCCATCCAGACTGTTAAAGCCCGGGGCAACCCCCACCACCCCTCCCCTTCGCTCAGACGCAGTCATCTGCCTCTGTTAGTCTTCTTCTCCTCCTCATCTCTACCTCTTCACTCACTTTCTTCTTCTCCTTCCTATCTATTTCTCTCTCGCTCTCGAGGTGTTCCCCCTGTGCAGCTCTCCTTGGCTGTTTCTCTCTGTCTCTGCTCGCTGCATCCTTCCCTCTCTCTCTCTGCTCTCCACCAGTCTCTACACGGATCTTTTAAGTCTACCAACCTCTTCACTGATCAATGGACAGCCAGCGAAGCAAGCCCTGCTGCCTCCACCTCCCCCAGCTTTGTGCGTGCATGCATGTGTGTGTGTGTTTGTGTGTGCGTTTCGCTGCAAGGAGAGGAGGCTTCCAACCCACACACCACTCTCCAGAGCTCTCAGCCTCCACACTGCCTCATCAGTTGACCACTCTACACCCCTACGCATCAATTGCGTGCATGTGCGTGTGCACGCCTACACACAGCAGGACCATTAAAAGCTTACATTTTAGTGTCACCTGAAGTAGATTTTTGGTGGTGGCGGTGGGGGAGTGTGTATGTCTTAAGAAGGGCAGTAAGGTATCCTCAGCAAAGAGCTCCGAACACCTGTGACTCATCTCGATTCCCACAGAGCAGCCTTTAATGGGTGCAGATACATCCATCGCTTCCAGAAACCAGGTGGATTTTCAGTTCAAAAGGTACCTGCAGGCCATCTGGGCAATTCTGGTGAGCGGCTAATCTTGTTAGGATGTTCTCAGCATAACTAAACACAACAGAAATACCCTCATTTGCTCATTTTTTTGAGGAGGGGGTTTGAAAATTTACCCAAGATGCGCAGAGAAAAAAAATCGAAATGTTCCCAATTTCGAAGAGTTTCTAGAATTTTTTTTTTTTTTAAATGTCTGATTTAGGGGGGAAAGGAAGGCGGCTCAAGCCATTTTTGATATTAAGAGAATCTGAGCAACCTGCACTGCAACAGGGTTATAAATAGTGATCTAAATTCATCCTGCGCTGACTGCCATGTGAGGCGGAGAAGCCATCGGATGAGAATAAATGCAAGTGATCCAGTGGCGGCCTCACGAGGGGGTTAAATCTAATAACAGCAGAGCAATGGCCGGTCAGAGGCTCCAGACTGCTACGCTGTGACCAAGCTCGGAGAAACAGCTGTTCAGAGCTTTAAAAATGATAAAAGAAATATTTGCCTTCTATTACATTTTTGATGTTTCCTGCAACTGCAGCTGCAAATATCAGAGCTCTGTAATGAGCAATGATTACATCGTGGCTGAACGAGCAAGGAATGCTGACTGACAGGTGACAGGTACTATTCAAAATTGCAATGATAATGAGTGCTTAGCGGGAAAGATGGAGGTAAAAATTAGCATGGAGCATAAATTCAGAGCCCTTTTTGGTGTAATTACAGTCACGTGTACATTTGCCAGTGCAAAAATGGCCTCCAAAAAGAGGCTGAAGGCCATACTGTTATCATACTAAGAAAGGTGGATGAAGCCTGGAGCATCACCTCAAAAAAAAAGGCATGTTTGGTAGGAAAATAAGCCAAAATATGACAATAAACTTTCAGTTTTTTTGCCCTACTGTCTTACTAGTCAACAGAAAACTGACTGGATGACATCGGGTTGAATTCAAGGCTTCTTTTTTTAATGGTCGTCTTTCAGGTCAGGAATACTTTCAATTTTTCACTTTTTAATCAGGGAAGTCTTTTTAATGGCAGTGACTGACCTACCAGATTTACCCCTGGAAACAACATCCACAGACATCTTTTTGTTTGTTTGCTGGCTTATCAGAGGCTTTTCATTAATAAATAATCGTCACAAAAATGACGAAGATGAGCTGTGGACAAATCAACTCAGGCTGTGTTTTGGGAGGGATTTTCTGAGGGAGGGGGCAGAGCTGTGGAGATCGGTTCGGGTCCTGCGTGGTGTTGACAGGAAGGAGTGTGGTGATGGAACAGTTTGTTGAGGTGGGTAAGTGTGTGGGGGGGCTGTGAGTAAAGAGAAGGACTTTGAAATCGATCCACTGCGGGGCAGGAAGACAGTAATACCAGAGGGCAGGGGTGATGTGATCAGGAACTGGTGAGCAGGCGTACTGTACCGTTCTCAATATACTGGAGTTTATTTAGGAGCTTGGATGAAGCTGCAGTAGTGACTTGTGGACGAACTAAAGCATAGGATCACATTTTTGGCTAGAGAGAATGATGGAGTGATGGAGCGAGGCAAATGATGTATGAAAAAATGCAATCCTCTCTTTGACTGACATGGTGTTTAATGATTTGGAATTAATGATAATTATGTGTGATTCAGTTTAATTGAATTTAAGGAAATCTTACTTGCAAACTACAGGAGACCATGTCTGTGAAGGTTCTCAGTCATCCAGGTCATCGTAGTCAAAGGAGCTTGCAAAGAAAAGCGTCTGGACTTCTTTAAGTTGCTTGAAGACGTTTCACCTCTCATCCGAGAAGCTTCTTCAGTTCTAAGGTCAAATGGTGGAGAGTCCCAGATATAAACCTAGTGGGAGTTCACCCCCACAGAGGGACAAAAGGACCCCCTGATGATCCTCTAATCGCCTGAGCCAAGGTGTGAAACTGGGTGTGGGTCCCAATCAGCCAGAGTTTCGGGTGTAGTTCATTGTGAAACCTGGCCCCACCTTATCATGCGAATTCCTGAGGTCAGATGGCCCAGGATGTGAGTGGGCTTAAGGCGTCTGGGAAGGGATCTCAAAACTGGATTATAGATGGCAGAGAGTTGGTGTCGTAAACCCCCGCCTCTGTTCAAAGATGGTCGCTCACAGTGGACATAGATGGCTTCTTTCACTCCTCTTTCAAACCATCTGTCCTCTCTGTCCAAAATGTGAACATTGGCATCCTCGAAAGAGTGTCCTTTATCCTTAAGATGCAGATGGACTGCTGAGTCTTGTCCTGTGGAGGTGGCTCTTCTGTGTTGTGCCATGCGCTTGTGAAGTGGCTGTTTGGTCTCTCCAATGTAGAGGTCTGAGCATTCCTCGCTGCACTGTACAGCATACACCACATTGTTAAGTCTGTGTTTTGGCGTTTTGTCTTTCGGGTGAACCAGTTTTTGTCTGAGCGTGTTGCTGGGTCTGAAATACACGGGATGTCATGCTTGGAGAAAACTCTCCTGAGTTTCTCTGATACACCGGCTACATAGGGGATGACAATGTTGTTGCGTCTGTCCTTCTTATCCTCCCTCGCTGGTGTCTGATCTTCTTTTCTGTGCCTCTTTGCTGACTTTAAGAACGCCCATTTAGGATAGCCGCATCGTTTTGAGTGCTTCCTTTACATGTGTGTGTTCCTTCTTTTTTCCTTCAGGCTTAGAGGGAACATGTTCTGCCCGGTGGTGTAGGGTCCTAATTACTCCAAGTTTGTGTTCCAGAGGGTGATGGGAGTCAAAGAGGAGGTACTGGTCCGTGTGTGTGGGCTTCCGGTAAACTTCGATGTTGAGGTTGCCGTTCTCTTCAATGTGCACAGCGCAGTCCAGGAAAGGCAAACAGTTGTCCTTTGTGTCTTCCCTGGTGAACTTGATGTTTTTATCCACAGCGTTAATGTGCGCAGTGAAGGATTCCACTTCTTGTGTCTTGATTTTGACCCAGGTGTCGTCCACATATCTGTACCAGTGGCTGGGTACTCTTCCTTTGAAAGAGCCAAGAGCCTTCCTTTCCACTTCCTCCATGTAAAGGTTGGCTACAATAGGTGACACGGGGGAGCCCATGGCACAGCCATGTTTTTGTCTGTAAAAGCCTTCGTTGTATTTGAAATATGTAGTGGTGAGGCAGAGGTCTAACAGTGTGCAGATCTGATCGGGTGTGAAGTTGGTCCTGTCCTCCAAGGAGCTGTCTTCTTGTAGTCGTTTTCTGACAGTCTCCACGGCCTCCGTGGTGGGTATGCAAGTGAAGAGAGAGACTACATCAAAGGACACCATGGTTTCATCTGGATCCAGGGTAAGTTTCTGGACCTTGTCGGTGAAGTCGGTGGAGTTCTTGATGTGGTGTGGGGTGTTCCCCACGAGAGGAGCAAGGATGGTAGCAAGGTGTTTTGCAATGTTATAAGTGGCTGAGTTTATGCTACTGACTATGGGTCTGAGTGGGACAGCTTCCTTGTGGATTTTAGGAAGTCCGTAAATGCAGGGTATGGCATCCCCTGGGTAAAGGCGGTGATATGTAAGGCGGTCAATATTTTGTCCTTTTCAAAGTCTTGAAGGCAAGCTATAACTTTCTTTTTGTAGCTGCTTGTGGGGTCTCGCTTTAAGGCTTCGTAGGTATTGTTGTCACTGAGGAGAGTAGTGATCTTTGTATGGTAATCTGTAGTGTTTAGGACCACGGTGCATCTTCCCTTATCAGCTGGTAAAACAGTGATGTTGTGGTCTTTGCTCAGGGAAGCGACGGCCTTCTTTTCCTGTATTGTGAGGTTGGATGGAGGGACTTTGGCACTGGAGAGGGTGGCTTTTGACCTTAGAACTGAAGAAGCTTCTCGGATGAGAGGTGAAACGTCTTCAAGTAACTTAAAGAAGTCCAGACGCTTTTCTTTGCAAGCTCCTTTGACTACAGGAGACCATGGCAGTTTGCTAGCAACCAAAGCAATGGCAAGGTTTTTGGTGCAGAACCTTCTTTGTGATAGCCAGCAAAACTCCAGCAACCAGATGCCAACCAGTCTGAGAGTGCACAGTTTTACCTAGCAACTGGTGGTTTCCAACCAGTCTGTGTGACTGGTTAGAACTCGTTACCTGAAATACACATTTTAAGGGTTTAAGGATCTTTTACTTAAAGTTGCCTTGAGATAGAAAGTGAAAGAGGGCAAAGCCTAAGATCGCCTGGTGGAGGACAGTGATGGCAGAGAGGGTGGAGCAAGCACTCAAGCCTAAGACTACGTCAGCTCTGTCAGGTCCTTCTTGCTGTGTGGCAACAGTACTAACCACCGCAGCAAACCAAACTTATTTAATACATATAAAAATACAGAACGTGTATGATAAAACTTGCACTCTTAACTGTAAATGCACTACTATGTTTTAAGATGAGGAAGAGGATTAACATGTGTTTCTTTTAAACCAATCATCTTACTAGCTGCAGCATAGGACGGATATGACCGCTCATTTAGTTTTATGCTTTATTGAAGGCAACAAGGCCAAAACGTTAGCATGTTTGTTGGCACGGCCGAATAAGTTGGTGTCCCCAAGACCCCGTAGTGAAACTTATAATACAAAACGTAAGGACTTTTAGCTTTCTAGACCTGTAGAAAGCTAAAAACAAAAGATAAAATCATCTAAATATATGAGCGTGTGATGAGATTAGTCTCTCTTTTTGGGATTTTGGTAGAATTTATTAGAGTTTAATATGAGATGACCAGGACAGCTGCAGCCATGATTTCTGCAGATGAACACAAGCTTTCCAAACTGAAATCTTTGGCAGGTGGTGAAGGTTTTCTTTCTCGCTCCATCTACTCTAATTTTAATTTATTGAAACGGTTGATTAGTTTCTGCAACGGAGACGACACTGATGTCAGTTTTGTTTAATTATAGAGTAAATCTGTCCTGCCATCCTAATGGAAACCTTTCGACTGCGGCAAAGACAAAGGTAGCAGGTGGACTTGCCTGCCAGCGTGCATTTAATCGCCGTTTGTGTGAATAAAAAGCGAGAACATTTTG